AAATTTCGCTTAAAGTCGATGACCACAGGTATTCTAAGCCATTTTGTGAAGTTTTGAAATTTTTTCTTTTTTTATTTTTTTTTTATTTTTTTCGGCAACTAAAAAAATAAAATTTCTCTCAAAGTGGGTGGCCACAGGTATTTTAAGCCATTCAGTAAAGTTTTGAAATTTTTACTTTTTTGCTTATTTTTATTTTTTTTGGCATATAAAAAAATTAAAATTTTGCTCAAAGTGGGTGGCCACAGGTATTTTAAGCTATTCTCATGAAGTTTTGAAATTTTTTATTTTTTTTATTTTTTTCGGCAACTAAAAAAATTTAAATTTCACTCAAAATGGATGGCCACAAGTATTCTACGCCATTTTGTGAAGTTTTGAAATTTTTGATTTTTTGCTTTTTTTTTTTTATTTTTTTCGGCACCTAAAAAAATAAAATTTCGCTCAAATTGGGTGGCCACAGGTATTCTAAGATATTTTGTGAAGTTTTTAAATTTTAGAATTTTTTATTATTTTTGGCAACTAAAAAAATTAAATTTTGCTCAAAGTGGGTGGCCATAGGTTTTCTAAGCCATTTTGTGAAATTTTTATTTTTTATTATTTTTATTATTTTTATTTTTTTCGGTACCTAAAAAAATTTAAATTTCACTGAAAGTGGGTAGCCACAGATTCTAAATCATTCTCTTAAGTTTTGAAATTTTTGATTTTTTGCTTTTTTTTCTCACCTCAAAGATCGTGACTTCCATATGAATATGTGTGTTGAAGAAAATGAATTCCTCAGAAATGGTTCTCACTTTTGTTCCAGAAATGAAAAACCAACTTTTTTTTTGTTCTCATTTCTGGTTTCAGAATCAGTTTTGGAAGCAAACTTGTCCCGGAAATAGAAAAATGAAATTGCGTTATCAAACGGGTTTCTGGTCCAAAACTGATTCTGGGAACAAAAAACCAGTTCTGGACAGAACCAGAATGGTTTTCATGCAGCACCTAAGCGTCCACCGTTTTACTTCTTTATTGACCGGTCAATTTTTTTGGGTCCCACCACCTATTGACCTGGTCAAATAGGATGGCCAATATTACAATTTTGGAATACAAATAGCAAATAACTTCCTAACGGCGGTTACAAGAAGTTGTGTTGTCCACTAAATCCTAGTATCTAGTAAAAATATCCACAAGTTAAAAATCCCTAAATTAGCGAAAACAAAACATAACTATCGAAAGAAGGACACTAGAAGTGCCAAATGTTGTGTTCGGCGCTTACTTTAGTGCCAAAAATTTTCGCTGGCTTACTTAAGTGCCAAATCGGAGAAAAAACAATCATTTAAGTGCCAACGGCGAGAAATTCCGGCCAAAATAAATACGTGGCATTTATAATTAAAATTTTAATGTAAGTTGGCATTTTTTAAAATAAAACCGGTCCACTTAGCATTTTCATGTGTAAATTTCTCTTCATCTCCCTCCACGTCATTATTTTTCTCTTTTTTTTCTTTGTTTTCTTCTCTTCTCTCCATAATGAAAAGGGGTTGGGATCGGAGGAGCTCGTCACTGATGAAGTCGAAGGTGGAAGAGGGGTCGGGATCGGAGGAGGAGGGGGCAGTGGAGGGCTTGGCGTACTAGAAGCGGGTGTGGCGGGAGGCGAAGAGAGTGACGAGGGCACGGGCAAGTGGGAACCACTCCCGAAAGGCGTCGGTACTATATCAAAGAAATGGAGGAGAGAGAGAGAGAGGGGGGAGGAGCAATCGCTCCGGACGAACCAAACTCGACGAAATACGAAAGACACCGGTGCGATATCAAATTAGAAAGCCACGAAACACGTCCAGCAATCAATGAATGCCCAAATTGGACAAAAAACCAAGAACAGGTGCGCGAACCTCACCTAGACATTTCATTGAACACCTAAGGTACAACAGGCGAGGGGAGAACTAAAAAGCATTCAGCACACAAACTCATACCAGAACTAGCCATAACCAGAAAAAAAAAATACTAGGAATACATAGAGAAAGGTATGAGCAGGCCCGAAACAAGCGCGAACCGAGGCCGGCAAGCCTCGGTCCGCCGATTCGACAAAACAGGGGAAAACTTTGGCATACCCTATGAAGGGAAAGTTGCCGGACGTGATTTCTAGGTAGATCAAAACAAAACGGCCCCAAAAACCTCCTCGAGGGACTTGGCCGGCAAAAGAGGCAACACCAACCGCGATTCGAACTCCACCATGTGTGGCCGAGAATGGATACGGCCAAGCCTTTGGTTTGCGGCCAGGTTTTTCAATGAATCGACTCCGTTGACGGCGAACATTAAGGCGGTTTTGATCAATTGCCTGGACAAGAAGCCAGGGAGAAATTTCCTTTACTCTTTCGCTATACTCCCTTTTTCCCCCTCGGGGTAAGTACACTGTAAGTGCCATAACTTTTATACGGAGGACACTTAAGTGCCATAACGTTTTTTTGGCTCACTTGAATGCCACATCGGAGTAGAAATAGAACACTTGAGTGACATTTCCGGCCAAATGTGCTACATGGATTTCTGACTTAATTTTTTTTCATACGTGGAAATTAGAAAAATAAACGGACGTCCAACGTGGAAAAAGGATATCCACATGGAGAGAAATGACATCGTTCGTTGGATCTCTTTGAGTGAAAGAAACGTCGTCGTTTCTTTCGTTTCTTTCCTCTCCAACGCATGAGCTGCTTGTATACAACGATCGATTAGGGAAAAATTAAGGCATCTCTCTATCTCTCTCTCAAATCGATCGATCTCTGTCCCTCATTGATCGTCCTATTTAGTCGCGAATTAGGGCTTCGATTTTCGTCAACACTTCGACGAAGGAGCAAATCGAACTATCCCTTGCTCGTATCTTGTTCGTCTGTCAATTTCAGAAGGAAATTGGGTCTGTCGCACGCCGAGTGTTGGTCGACAGTGAGTAAAGGTTAGTGAGTGATTTTGTTGTGTCCACTGGCCAACCAAATGAGCTTCGCTTTATCCTTTGTCGTCTTGGTGTTGTTGACAGATTGTAAAAGCACGTTGAACGGCCATTGACCGACGCTCCAGATTAGCGTTTGGTGCGAAAGTGTAAAGGTGGGTGCTTTATTTTGTTCATCGTTATATTTTGTCGTCTTGTATCCATTGAACAATGGCCAGAATTATCGTTTATTGAACGTGGGGACCGATCGCAAACTTGTCTTGTCTCTGTCTATTGTTTACTTAAAATTGGGTTGAAAGTGGGGACCGAATCGATTGCTCAACTTGTCCTCTTGTGTCTATGTATTATTTATTGAAAGTGGGGACAAATCGTACAACTTGTCATCTGTATGAGTTGTGGTCCCGGACAATAGAATAATTTTTTTTTGTCTTGACTACAGTGTTAAAATGGATGATAGCACTGCGCCCATTACTATGTGCTATGGTGGGAAGCTTGTTACTGGAGAAGTGTGGAAATATGTTGGAGGAAGTGTTGCTATTGTTAGGGTCAGCATCAGTAATCTATCATATGAAGACCTTGAGAAAGATATATCGAAACAGTTGCGGTGCAAAGTAGGAAATTTGCACTATCAAATACCTGGTAAGAGTCTGAAAGATGGATTGAGATATCTGTATGATGATGGTGGTGTGAGAGATATAGTTTACCATTTTCTTCATCGTCATGAGGTTTATGTGTATGTTGAAACTGTTGGTGCTGAGTATGAGGAAATAGTGTTGGAAGTTGGTATTGAATCTGAGGTTGGTGATAGATCTGTTTTAGAACAAGATCGGATATCTGAGGACACCGAGGCTTCCCTCACAGCTCGTGTGCTAGAGATATGTGAGCAACTTAGAAAAGTGGTGGCTTAGGTGATGATGAAGAGGAGACACTACCTGAATCATCGAGTAGAATCAATTTGGGTTCTTGGGATGTTGCATTGTCCAATGATGACGATGAGGAAACATTACTGCATACAATTTACGAGGGCGATGTTGATGATGAAGACATTGCAGTTGCAAGGGAAGAAGTGAGGGCATATCAGCAAGGAAGGAAAGCATCAATTGGGGTAGTGGATGAGGGCACTTCAGTAAACCAGGATGGTAGAGCTCCAACGGCAGATCGTGATGATACGGAATATGAGCAAAGTGGTGACAACGGCAGTAGCTCAGAGGATTGTGATAACGAAGATGTTGCATCTCAGCGTACAATGAGAAGAAGGTATCCTTCTTATAATTCAGCCGATACAAGTCCTATGCTTTGCTTATCGATGAGTTTTGATGATGCCAAACAATTTAGAGATGCTATTGTGAGGGACTCAATCACTCATCAAAGGAATATCAAATTCACTAGAAATACCAAGGATTATGTTAGAGCAATATGTGCACAAGCTAATTGTCCATGGAAGGTATATGGTGCATTCAGTAAGAAGACTGGGTCATTCCAAATTCGGTCACTTCAGGAGGAGCATAATTGTGGCATTGTATTTGATAACAAAAGAGTGACTAGTGCGTGGTTGGCTAAGCAGTTCTTTGACACCATTAAGACCATGCCAGAAATCAGGACTTCTCAATTGAAACAACTAATGAAAGAGCAAGTAGGTGTGAATGTGTCAAAGAATCAATGCAAGAGGGCTAAGTCTAACGTCGTGAGAACATTGATGGGTGCATACAAAGAAGAATACGCTCAGATTTGGGAGTATGGTAGGGAATGTAGGCTTCAGAATCCACTCAGTAGAATTCATGTAGATATTGTGGAGAAGCCATTGCCTGATCATGGGACACAATTTGATAGAATGTACGTATGCTTTGATGCATGTAAAAAAGGGTTTTTAGTTGGCTACAGAAGAGTGATAGGGTTAGATGGTTGTTTTTTGAAGGAGTTATGCAAGGGAGAGCTATTGGCTGCCATTGGGAGAGATGGAAACAACCAAATGTTTCCATTAGCATGGGCTGTTGTGGAGATAGAAAACAAGGACACTTGATCCTGGTTTTTGAAGAATCTAATGGCTAACCTTGGCATAAATGATGGAAGAGGTTGGGCATTCATAAGTGACTAACAGAAGGTAATGTCACTAAACTATTGTATTTTTAATATCATTTACATATTGTTGCTTACATATGTTTGTTGGTTTTGTAGGGACTTGTCCCGGCAATTGCTGAGTTGATGCAATATGCTGAGCACAGAATGTGTGCTCGGCATATATATGCAAATTGGGCAAAGAAGTACAAAGGTGATCAACTGCAAAGGCAATTCTGGCTGATTGCAAAGAGCACAAATATGACAGAATTCAGAATTCACAAAAAAGCTCTACATGCCTTATCAGCTGAAGCTTTTGATGCATTGTTCCAAACTGAAGCAAAACATTGGTGCAAAGCCTTTTTTAGTGAAGAATTCAAGTGTGATGCCGTGGACAACAATCTTTGCGAGGCATTCAATGGCAGGATCATAGGAGCTAGGTGTAAATCCATCATAAGTATGCTTGAGGACATTAGGATTTTGGTAATGACGAGACTGCAAAAACAGAGAGATGAATGTGCCAATTGGCCTACACAGTGTGGGCCTAGGATTGTGAAAAAATTGGATGACAACATTCCTGCTAGTAGGTTTTATCATCCAATTTGGAATGGAGACGATGGATACGAGATTATGCATAATGGTGACAAGTATGTTGTTCACTTGGAGAGGAAAAATTGTTCTTGTCGAGCATGGCAGTTGACTGGGATACCTTGTTGTCATGCCATTTGTGCCATCCTGCTCAAGCAAGCCAATCCAAAGGATTATGTAGATGACTGTTACAAGAAACCTAAGTATCTTGCTGCATACCAATTCATGATGCAGCCGTTGAGAAGTAGCAAGTTCTGGGATAAAACAAATCATCCACCCCCAGAACCTCTACCACTGAAGAAGCTGCTTGGCAGGCCCAAGAAGAAAAGGAGGTTGCAGGAAATAGAGATTAGTAGTAACAGAATGAGTAGGTGTCACGCCCCGAACCCCTACGAGCTCGCGACATCCCCTGCTCCGGTCGAAATGATGCGACGTCCCAGGAACGTCGCCGACCCAACCCAAACATCAGAGCCACATGCGGAAGCGAATAACAAAACCCCGGACAAATAATGACGACAACGGGGTAGAATAACAGAACAATCCAGCAACCACATATTCATACAACACCAAATATACAAACATCATATTACAGACATAAATACAGACTAACATCCTCAGTCACCGTTTAAACAAAAGTTCAGGGGTTTGGTTATCTTAACTTCACTATCGGATAACCCCTAAAATCACCCTAGGGAAAAACCTAAGGGTCGCCCTCTTCTATTCTGCTTCTGAATTTCTGGCTTGAATCTCTGGAATTCACCTGCAGCTCCACTGGGCACCAACAGCAGCTCCCCGGACTTCCAAAAAGAAAAGGCGCACTTCCCGGGTTTAGGGCGGTTCAAAGTGGCGGTTATACAACCGTGAGACGAATCTCAATAAGTGTACAACCCCAAACCCCACGTAGGCACTCACGTACCGCCAGACGAAAACACACATAACACACAACGATCGGCCAAACTAACAATCACATGTGACCCTACCTGGAATCCATCACGCACGTTCCTGCACGTTAGACAATAACACAGCCAACACATCACAGCAAGGAATCACAGACGCGCGCGTGCCTCAATTATAAGACAGAAACCACTTGGGCACGTCCCATACCGTGCCTAGCAGTTTCTACCCCATAATTAAGCATCACATCACGCGATACAAACACACTCGCACGCTACTCACACCATGCGTCACTTTCCACAATCATCTCGCTTGTCTTGCCAAATCCCACTCATTTTCAACCTTTCCACCACTACCGCGCCCGCGTAAAACACATCAGGCCAACGGTCTTCTGACCTCGTCAGGCATCGTCACCCCGTCGGGCCGGGCATCGTCACCTCATCAGGGACGGCATCGTTCCGCGTAAACGTACACGCCTCAGGACGGAATCCTACACACACTTTCCTTCTACCGCGCCCGCGTAAAACGCATCAGGCCAACGGTCTTCTGACCACGTCAGGCATCGACACCCCGTCGGGCCGGGCATCGTCACCTCGTCAGGGACGGCATCGTCCCGCGTAAACGTACACGCCTCAGGACGGATCCTTTCCAACCAATCTCACATTTCCGTACCCTCGTTCCACTCAAACCACACTTGCCACGCCACCACACAAATACACTGCCAAACATACACACTTCACATACATTTCACATTTACACAACCTCGTCACACAAACACCGCACGAACACCCAATCACACATTGTTGGCACGCGAATACAATACGCGAATGCACTACCACACCACCACACTTCACGACCACACACACGCGACACATGGCCAGTCCACAATCAGCCCAAGCACAATCCCAAATCAGCCACAACCACACAGTCATATCACAACACACACGATCAACACACAAACTGGCATTTCTCCACACCCAAACGTTATCAAATCAGTTCAGGCCCTTCACGACAATTTCACAAAATCTCGGGCCGGACCTAACAGTACTAACCACACGACAAACAGCACCCCACAGCACCTAAAACCACGCATCACAGCCATCAATCAGTCTCTTTTCGCCCTCAAAATCACCATATCTCACTCCCGGCTCTTCACGGCACTTTCATAAAATTACGAGCCGGTCCTAATGGTACTAACTGCGTATCGAACAACCACTCACAGCACATCACACGGCATATCACAGCCAGCAAACAGTCCCTAAAATCACTTAAACCGAACTTCAAACGAGTCTAGAAATACCCGAGGTCCTAAATGACATTTGGGGAAAACACTTACTCAAAAGGCGAGACAGAACGGGGCTGGAACGGGCCAGGACAGCGGCAGCAGCGGAGCGGCGTCGCTGGCGATGTACGGACGGCGTGAACAGCGATCCCCGTACGGCGCGGTGAACAGTACTTTCGTACGGACACCGTACGGACAGGGGTCGGGACGGTGGCCGCGAGTGCCTGGTGATGCATGCAAGGCCCGACGGTCCGGGTGAACAGATCCGTACGGATCGGTGAACAAGACCCGTACGGACACCGTACGGACCGTGGCCGGACGGCGACGCACGGCGAGGCTGGACGGCCGGGTGTCGACTTAACGGCGATCGGAGTCTCCGGCGACTGTTTGCAGACCGGAAAGAGAAAAAGAGAGAAACAAGGCTGTTTTGGATAAGAACCGGGTCGTGGTGGTCGAACAGTGAGAGGAGGTCCAAGGGTACTGTGGCGACTACCGGTGGGCGCCAGCCCGGCCAGCATCGTCTCTGCCAGTGAATGTGATCTAAATGGCGTAAACGTAAACCGCAAAATAGAAAACAGAGAAAGGAGAGAAAACTTGCGGGAGAAATGGCCGAATGGTCTGCTGGAGAGAGAGAATAACCTGGTCAAATATGGGTCAACAAGTGTGGGTGGATTCCAAGTGTCAAGATCTAGGGCCTTAGGACAATTTTGCCCCTAATCCAAGGGCCCAAATTTGATCCAATCCAATAATTTAGGGGTAGAATGGTCCTTTGTCCCCAACCATGGTTGACCAGACCTGGTTTAACCTTAACTCACCTTGGTTAATCCCAAAATTAAATCCAATTTTCGGAATTAATCAAAAATGGCCTAGGGGCATTTTCGTAATTTTTCGATCCCGAACCGAAATTCCAATTTTCGCACATACGTGTTCCATATGTGCGTGGCCAACATAATATGGCGTCGGAATCGCGAAATTCATCGCGCAAGCCCTCCAAAATCCACTTCAAAGTCTTGGGAATAAAATAATATTATTTTTCCAATTTTTGTCGAAATTCCAATTTTTGGCCAAAACCACTCTGAATGTGCGTGGCCACCCCAAAATGACCTTGGCCGTGAAAAATAACCTCAAACGGCCTCGAATCCACCTCGGTGCCCACGGGGGCAAAACCGTAATTTTTCCTACTGATCAAATCCATTTTTTTGCGAAAATGGGTGGCCCCAAGGTTGGCCAAGCCAAAAACGTCATCGGCCGTCCAAAATTGTCACTTTCAAAATTCTCGATTCCCGGGCCCGAACTCCAAGAAATGACTAAAATTGGACAATTGCAACTTTAGCTTATCTCTGGCTAACGGGTGGCTCATTGGGATTATGCGCTCTCGACCCGTGACCGACACTAAGTCAAATCACGTTTAAGTTTACTCCACCCGAGACGACCTCGATTGTCATATAATTGCGAGGGTCTGTCACTAGTTCCCTTTGGACACGATCAATCAAGTAGACCGTTCTCGGTTGGCTCAAAACATTCCCTCGTCAATCGATATGGTCGAAGATCGAACCTAGGTCGAGTTCTTTGGTCATGCGAACTCAATCCCGTAATAGCCCTACCCCTAAGGTTAGCATCCCGAGAATGCGCATTTCCTGGTGAGACCTCACTATAGTGCATTGGTCAAATTCATTTCTTAAATCTCGGGAAAAGGATCGAAAATTCAGACTGTTACAGTAGGGCTGGTGGAATCATACGGTGCTCACTATGCCATCGGGAAAGGCACAATAAGGTTGGTTGTCCAAATAAGAAGCAGCAACAGCGACAAGAGCAGACAACACAGGCCAATGATACAGGGGTACCTCAGGGAGCCACACAAAGTAATGATGGGGAACCAAGTGGGCCAACTCAGTCCAACATTGTACAGCCGAGGAGCAAAATTCAAGTAAGCTCTTTGTTAAGGATATTCCACGTGCATGTAGTTGTTTGTGAATTAACCTCATTCTGTTATGTCATTTTGCAGGTTAGAAAAAGATCAAGTGGAGGTGTTTCCACTGATAGTTCTGCACCACAACGTACACGTGGTGCACTTGGGAAAAGGCTTAGGAAATATGGCTATGGGTTGTTTACAGACATGAATACCGGCATGACCATTTTGAATGTAAGTTTTTTAGTTGTTATGCATTTAACATATGTCATATGATTGACATGGTAACTAATGGTTATATGATTGCAGCCTGGGAGACCTTCAGAGGTGCTGATATCTCAAGGAGGACCAAGTCAAGAATCGGCTGCACCACCAAGAACAACAAGAAGTCAAGGGCAAGCACTGCTAAACCAATCAATGGTAACTCGAGCACAATCTAAGAGGAAGCAACCAATGGCACTACCAAATCAGAAGGTGCAAAGGCCAGCTCGAAAGCAGGCACCCAAAAATGCCACAACAGCGCTTGCGTCCGAATCAAATGATCCTGGAAATGTCACTACACATCAGTCTGAACAACCTGCTACCACAGTGGCACCAATCACAAGAAGTTCAGCAGGAGACAACACCAACAAACATCAAGGACCAAGCAAAAGAATGTCTCCTCCAAAAGCTAAGCCAGCTGAAAAAGAAACATGATCGATGAATATGCCTAGAGTTCCACTTCGAAAGAGTGCGAGGATCATGAATAATATGAAGAGTTGTCCGTCGAACAAAGGAAGTGACCAAGTTGTTGACATTGACTAATGGGATGATGGGAAAGGCTGTCTATTTATGTGTGTTTAGGGGGATTTTGTTAGGTGTTTAATGTCATTGTTGTATTTTGGCTGGTGATGTGTTTGGTAGCAATGTTGTGAGGCGTTTATGTTGCTGCATTTTGGCTGGTGATAACTTCATTTTAGCAGCAATGTTATTCGAATTTATGTTTTGATGTTGACGTAAGATAACACCATTTTGAGGTGTAAGGATTATGTTATCATGTTTGATGAATGAAATTGCCATTTGGTGTCAAACCAGGCTAGGTTGATGGCAACTTGTTACTTATAGTGCATGTTACAGGATAACGATGTCTAAGAATCTTTGCTTTAAGCTAACTCAAGATGTGTTTAAGAAAGTGAAACCAACAGCTTACAAATTTTTTTGTTTATGAACCTAAGTGCTCACTTTTAAAAAGTTGAGGAACCTAGGTTATAACTTTTTAAAAATTAGTGAACTTAAGTGTTCACTTTAAATAATTTGTGGCACTCAAACGATCATTCGTAAAATTATTTGGAACTTCTACTGTCCTTAACACCATACGCAAGATAGCCAACACCAACCACAAAATCCAGGTTCATTACAGCTTGCTGCAAAAACTGCAGCAGAAATTGCAAATCATCTTACTCTTTATAAACCCACAATAATGGACAAATTGCATCCTAAAACACCATTTATCAAATCGACCAAATATGGTCATTCGACGCAATCAACAATAATGCACAAATTGCATCATAAAACACCATTTCCACCAAATCAACCATACGTAGCTATTCAGCCCAGTCAAGCAATCACAAATAGATCATTAACTCAGATACACAAAAATTACCATAACTATTCAAGCATAAACACATTCCAAAGCCTAATATTAATTGCTCCAATTATCACAATACAATTCTTCAACTATGGTAGACTCATAAGCTTCTTCTCATTACCAACGTTACATATGACCAAAAACCAGACCAAACCCGACAAGAACAACACAAGCAAAACTCGATAAATATCTCTTTGAATTTTCATCCTTGATACTTTCTTCTTCAAATGTTTCACCAAAGATTCCAGACCATTTATTTCTGCTTGCATTGAGTCAGCATCGTCCAACTCGTCCATCAATACAGGCCGAGCTTCATGTCTTCCTTGAAGTAGTTCCAAGATCACCGACGTTGCTTGATTCGAAAATTTGGCGTCAACCCACTTGAAATATCCACAATTGAAGTCTTCTCTATACTTAGCGCATCCATGGAACCTTCTCCCCGGATTCTCTCTCGTCCAAGCCGTTCTTGTTGGACTTCGCAACCCACAATAGCAAAAATATCGACTTTCATCTTCGCTTTGTTCATCAACTCGTGAGCCACTTCTCTTGCTTTTGCTCCCCATTGCGAATTTCATGAGATGATTTGCCTCAACTTGGACGATTGGAAATTGGGGATTCGGTTAGGGTTAAGGTTGAAGAAGACAATTGCTCATTTTGCCCCAATTTATTGAAGAAGCCGACGGTTTTTCAATTTGTGATGGTGTACGATGTCGTTTTGAACTTTAAATGCTGACTTCAACTTTCCGGCAAGCCACGTAAGATGAGTTAATATTTTTTTAAGCCATGTCGGACGTTCCAGTGACAATGGCACTTATATGAGCGATTTTTTTGAAAATGTGGCACTCAAGTGAGCCAAAAAAAAGTTATGGCACTTAAGTGTTCTCCGTACAAAAGTTATGGCACTTGCAGTGTACTTACCCCCTCCCCCTCTGCGTCCCCAATTTGTTGGTCGTTCAATAAGAAAAATCAATTTTCTTGCTGAACGACGTCGTTTTTGGTCGTGCAGGTAGGTGAACTTGTCAAACGACCTCATTTTTGGGTTTTTTATGCTGATTGAGATCTTCGGCGAGCCACGTCAACAAAAAAAAATTAAAATAATGCCACGTCGGATTTCCGGCATTCGAGACCGGAGTTGGCACTTAAGTGATTGTTTTTCTTTAAAATTGGCACTTAAGTAATCCGAAAAAAACTTTTAGCACCAAAGTGAGCGCCGCACACAACTTTTGACACTTTTGGTGTCGTTCTTTCCATAACTATCTAGCAATTACATCTTTGTGTAAATCGCCCGCTGTCGATAACTTTATCGATCAACTTCTCTAAGGATGCGTTTGGTTCAGCATTTCCAAGGGACTTTGGGGAAATGCAAAGCAGTTTAGCCCAAAGGGCTTCGGGGAAATGCAAAGACTATTTGGTAAATTTTACTTTGAGAAGCAACTTTGAGAGAAAAACTGTTTGGTGGAAACACATTTGAAAAGTCCCTTTGGATGATTAATTAAGCTTTTTCATTTTTAATTGGTTTAAAATTGAAAAAAATGTCTGCAAATTTAAATATTGACAATAATGTTAAAAGATACCGTTTAAAAAATTTTATTAAAAATGAAATTTCTTTTTCTTGCTAAACAAATTCAAATGGAAAAAATTCACCTCAAACTGGTATCTTTCTCAAATTAAAAAATAAAGAATACTTTCATTCCAACATACGTGGTAAATATGTTCCGACGAAAGAAATTCATTATCTTCAAAAATTATGAACATCCTTGTATATTTACTAAACTCATAGTTATTTGATCACGTAAACGGTAAAGTTGGGTTTTCAATGAGTTTTTGAGGGTAAAAAAGGAAATCAACAAAATTTCATTGAAAAAGGCTTCAGCATTCCGAAAATGCTGAAAGCTCAATGCCAGTCTCTACTAGCATTGAGCTTTCAGCCTTCTCAAGGCCAGCTTTCACCTCAAAGCCCCTTGGGAAATGGTTGTCAAACACCCCAAATTTTCCTCAAAGGGCTTTCAGGCCTCAAAGGGCTTTCAAAATGCCGAACCAAACGCACCCTAAGTCTTAGCTCTTGTCGCTAACTCATGTTGTCAATGACTTCCTTAGTGAGTTGTTGATTCCCTTCAAGTTGTCGATTGTTCTATTCATTATTGACTAAACTCTGCTGTTATTGACTAAGTCTGATACTTTTCGATAATAATCAAAAAGTTGATCATTTTTTTTGTGTTAACAAACTCGCATAGATAAGCATAGTCACAGGTAGTAGCAAGCAACTCTTTGCGTCAAACACCGCCTTAATTAGTAGCAGTGATTGAACGCCGAGACGGAAATCGCATGCTTGTTTGTTGCAACTCCCAGAAATTACTTCTTGTTTCCTCTCTTAAAATTGAGCAAAAGGACACTATAAGTGCCATAAGTTGTGTACGGAGATCACTTTGGTGCCATAACTTTTTTTCGGATCACTTTGGTGTCAACTTTTTTGAAAAACGATCACTTTAATGCCAATGCTGAAATGGTCGCCGGAAATCTGACGTGGCTCTTTTTTTATTAATTTCCGATGCTGACATAGCTCGCCGGAAATCTGACGTGGCTCGTCGGAAATCTGACGTGGCTCTTTTTTTTGCCGGAATTTTGGCCGGAGCCACTAAAGTGATCTCTTTTTCTCCGACTTAATACCAAAGTGATCCAAAAAAAAGTTATGGCACCAAAGTGATCTTCGTACACAACTTATGGTACTTATAGTGTCCTTTTGCTCTTAAAATTGTCAAAATGGGAAACAAGCATGCATACATTCGAAAAAATTATCAAAAATAACTTCTATATGGCTATATATCTAATCTATGTATACATGTGGAAATTGTTTATGTTAAATAAAAGTCAAAGCCCGAATTCGTAAAATTTTGAGAAGAATAAAAACGGAAAACGTCGTGAGTGAGAAGCACCGATGAGCCCAATTGCCCCAGTTAGGTCAACTTAGAGATCATTGCCCACGATGATATATAGTTAGACACTCTTTATTTCAAGAAAAATAAATATTTTTAAAAATATTTTTTAAATAATCACTTCAAATAATCAGCCAATGAAATTTTTTAAATTATTGACAACAATTTATGTTCATTGACAAGTTCAAATAATTTGTAATACTTCTCTGTTAATTTGGCAATCCTCTTATCGACTGTCCTTACAGGATGATGCTTTAAGCCACGACGAGAATTTGCTTCGCCAAATTAGAAACTGTAGCTCGTATTCTCTGCGATATGAAGGAGCAAGATGATAAGCATCTCAAACTTGGTGAAACATTCAACTCAATGAGGAAATTCCGTGCACGAACTCAAAGATCCGATGATGCCATGTGAGGAAAGGAAGCATCATACTTCTTGCAAGCAAATGGAAAGATGTAATTCTGGTTCACTTTAATCAGCACAAAAAAAGAAAGAAAGAAGCAGAAGACAAAAGGAATATGCTAATTGAGAAGCATTGATCTATCACGCATTGGGGCTGCATATGATGAAAGCGACAACTACGAATAATACAATACAAACTGGAAAAAGAAAATCAAAGAAAAAACAAGCAAATGAAACGATGGTGAAAAATCAAGTACAAGTTGATGAAACACACTCAAATCGAGCACTTGAAAGATTAATACTTGAGTACTTCATTTGCAAATTGCAGCGCATCAGACACAGCTAAGTGTTTAATGCATCCATATGTTTTAGCACGGATGAACTCAAGGCGTTCCTTGCATCCAGATCGTCGAGCAGGAAGGAAAGCTACTCAAATTCCTCAACCTAAGTAGCACATGAACCACAATACCACAAAGAAACCCGAGCGCCGCACTCGATCCAACAAGAGAAACCGCCGCACAGATCAGCATCACAAAAGCCTCCTCCTTTGAATTCATGTCCCTGGCAGCCATGGCCAGCTCAACTCCCGCGAACAAAAGCAGCACACCAAGCACACCAACTGGGAACTGGTCCAACACCTTCACTATAGAACTCCCAAGGACCAAACCGAGAATCAATTTAGCGATGCCCAGGATCACCACGCAGCCCCCGCTCCTGCCACCAAACTTGTACTGCCCCGCCAGGCCTCCGGCACCATGGCAGCACGGCATGGCCCCAAACCAGCACCCGACCAGATTCATTAGCCCCACTGTGACCGCCACCGACGTGGCGGAGAAGTCCTTCTCGGGGAAGAGATCGTAGGACAGCTTGCACACCGCAATAACCGAATTCAATATCGATAATGGGAGTTGGGGAATTGTGCCTTTAATGAATCCCTCTTTCCAAGCATGCCTTGAAATCTTCACAACTTCAAAAGAGGATGGACCAAATTTAAAGTGCTTGATCAATTTAGGCTCTCTAATGAAGGCCAGGACAACACCTAGCAGGAAGATAATGAAAGCTGATGGAAGAGCAGTCATGATTCTCTTCCATTTTCTCTTCCTTCTCGTGCTTTGATCCTCCATGTCATCACCCAATTCTCGGTTGCTTTCCCTCTCTTCATTCTCTTCACCAGCACCATTGATGACCACAATGAAACAAGCACAAACAATGGCCAACACCAAGCCATCCAACCCGAACCAGGGCCTACTCCCAGCCGATTTCGACTTTGAAAAGTTCTGAACGTTCCTGACGTACCTCACAGCAGTCATTGCAAAAGACAGCCCTTGCGAGAGCTGAATCCCCCTAACAACAGACAGAGGGATCAGCCTAAAAGCGAGCTGCATCAATCCGGTGACACCCAGGAAGACCAAAATCGCACCGGTGCAAATCCCGGCCGCCATGGCCTCCGGGATGCCGAAATCGGCACTCGAAATCGCAACCGCCGCAATTGACTTCATGGGTTGGACCGGCATCGGAACACCGTATATGGCACCAGTGACCATGTTGTAGACACCAGTGAATATCAGCGTCGTGCCAAGGTTGAGGTCCTTGGCCAGCGTCAAGGCCAGGACTATGGGGATGTACGTGCCCAAATCGCCCATGGCTCCATTGATTTCACCCCATTTCGAGTGGATGGCCAAGTTGGTCTTGAGCTTGTGAAACATGTTGGACGGTGAAGTGAATTTGGGTGGCGGAGGATTGTTGGTGCTCGAAGGGCCCTCCATGGCTTTGACTCGGTGATGTACCGCGGAGCGCGCACAAAGGGGAAGAGAGAATTCGATGCTCTTTTATAGGTGCGAGCTAATAGCGATAATTGAATTATTTAATGAATGATGCAATGGACAGAACTAATCACGGCACGGAAACTATAAGATATGTAAACTTGCGTTTTTTTTAGCGGGATCTGGCGTGAGTCTGTGAATTCTTTGAAGTTCTATCGAGTTGATCTAATAGAGATGAGAAAAAATTTGAAGAGTCAAAACAATTTTGGGGAATGGGATTTAAAGGGTGCAGGTTAAAGAAGATAAGAATTTAAAGTTACGTTGGGCGAGAGGTTCACGATCATTATTAGGGGACATTTAAGATGCCGTCTTGATGATACACTTGGGCATGGATTCGAATGAAATTGTCTCTGTAAAACAACGAGATTGATGCCATGTGATTTTGGGATTCTTCGACAAAAAAAAAGGTTCGATTTTCCATTCCATCAATTTTCAGTACCATGTTTGGATCATCTGCTCGAGTTTCACACCTTGGCTTTCGTTTTCTTCTCTTTTTCCCCACTCGACCCCCTCCATGAACAAACAATTTCCGTTCATCTTAGCAAGATTTTGTTGGTGAATAGCTACTTTCCTAATATAACTAGCTTCCTTGTCAGATTCGAATAGCTAATTTCCTTGTCAAATCGGATTACCTCATCTCATGTGCACATCGTTCGAACATAAATACCCTTTGATCGCAACGCATTACAGAGTCGGCTTATACAATGATCGTTTTTCCTATTTTCAGTTCTGAATGGCATGGTTTGTTGCTCATTCGAAGAACAGAAACATTTATAAAGCTCGTAGGTTTTATTTCAAGGCATGGAGCGAACCAATCAACCAAGCGTTGACAATAATAGAAAAATTGAGACAGAAAATGGATCGTTGCGTCTTTTCTTGGTGTACATGGCTGGCATCAGAAAAATAGCTAATGTCGTCCTTAATAGCCATTCTAAGCAGGGGTGTAAATGGTTCGGTTTGGTTTGGTTTTTTTGAAAAACCAAACCGAACCGAACCGTTAAGGCACCTTGAACCGAACCGAATTTTGCTTGAATCGAATATGAACCGAACCGAAAAATTAGTTTGGTTCGGTTCGGTTCGGTTTGGTTCGGTTCGGTTCAATTTTTCGATTTTCTATTATTTTTTTCTGAAAGTGTGGAGAGGCGGAGGAAGGCATTCAGACCCAGTTGCTTTCGCCCACTTCTCTCTCCCACAGCCCCCTCCCCTTTTTTTCTTTTTTCTTCTTTCTTTGGTACCCCCAGTGACGCAAGCGAGAAAGCAAAGCAAGAAAAGGGAAGCCGAAGTGGCACCACCACCACTTCCTTTGTTTCCTCCTCTTCATCATCTGTCTCCCCATGCTCGCACGCTCTCGTGCTTGGCAAATCTTGATCCTTCTCAAGATGGGTCTCTCCGTCACTTGATCCCTCCATCGCCCTTTGCCTGCCCTTGCTTTCTCGTGCTGGTTCTGGGATAAATCTTATTGGGTATTTCTATTTTTAGGGTGCTCTATTTTTTCATATGGGTGTCCGAGATTCACTGTGGTAGTCGTCACCAAAATCGAAACCGATGCACGCATACTTCGATGCGAACGAGGTAAGATATGAGCACGGATCGACCAGAACAGCAACTTTTCCCACCTGCGCTCATGAACCCACATGGCATCCGCCTCGAATCCAAGCCATTTCGTCTGAGTTCTCCTTGTCGATCACGGGAACTGCAGAATCTCGCTTGTTCGAGCGCCACTTCTGCTAGATCTTCGCCAGCTCTTCGCTGCGTGGCCGCCATTGCAGAATGCCGCACGGCCACAGCGATTAGGTGCCGGCACGGCGGAGAGAGGGGCTGAGCTGAGCAGCGCCGAGGGAGAGAGAGAGGATTTAGCCCTTTGCTGTTTTAGCCCTTTTAGCTTTAGGGTAAAAACCGTAGGTTATTTTCAGTTCGATTTCGGTTTGATCCGAACCAAACCGAAATAAACTGAACTGAAAGAAAAATAATGGTTTCTTTTGTGTATCCGTACCAAAAACCGAACCGAACCGAACCGAACCGAAATGCACAAAATTTTCGGTTCAGTTCGGTTTTTCGGTTCGATTCTAACACCCCTAATTCTAAGTGCCCTTCTCTAAGTGACCTTTCGAGAAAAGTATCAAAAAAGTCATAATTCTTTTGCATTGATGTCAATTTAGTCATAAATCTTTTTTTTGTGCCAATTTAGTCCTAAACCTTTTATCTTTGTGTCAAATTAGTCCTTCCAAATAATTTATCCAGATTTTGCTGATGTGGACGCCGATCGGCCTACATGGCACCGCCGACATTAACGTGGATAATGTTTAATAATGTTTTAAATTTTTTCAATTTTTTAAATATTTTTTCTTATTTTTTTCTTTTTTTCCTTCTTCTTCTACCTTTAGCAGATGATCGGCCACCGACCATGGCCGGCCGCCTGGCCTCGCCCGAACGAGGCGGCCATCGCCCGCCACAGGCAAGACCAACCAACCCTCACCCAAGCGAGGGCGAGCGAGCGAGCCCTGGCGAGGGTCGGCCTCGTCCAGGCCAGATCTGATGAGGCCGACCCTCGCCCAAGCCACGGCGGCCTCGCCAAGTGTCGCCCGAGCCAAGGCGACCCTCAACGAGGCCGCCCTGGCGTGGGCAAGGGCTAGCCTCGCCAGATTTGGCTTGGGCGAAGCCAACACTCGACTGCGCGAGGGCGAGCCCCGGCCAGTCGACACCCGGCGAGGCCGCCGTGGCCTCGACAAGGGCCGGCCTCGCCAGATCTGGCAAGAGAAGCCCTCACCGGGGCTCGACCAAGCCTTGCCCAGGTGAGGGTAGCCCGCCTGGGCATGACCAGTGGCCAGTCACCGGCGAGGGAGGAAGAAAGAAAAAAAATCAGAGAAAATAATTTAAAAATATTAAAATATTTTTAAAAATTATCCACGTCAGCGTTGGTAGTGCCATGTAGGCTGATCGGCGTCCACGTCAGCAAAATCCAACTAAAATTAGCCGGAAGGACTGAAATGGCACTATGTCAAAAGGTTTGGAACTGAATTGATACTAATATAAAAGGTTTATGACTTTTTTGACAATTTTCCCAAATAATACTATTAGCGATGAAATTTTCATGGTGAAAAACTGCAAACATATTCAAATGGACTTTTCGCGGCATGAAACGATTTTTTTCAAGGCGAAAAACATATGGCCTTTTAGCCACAAAATCATATCATTAGCCATGAAAAATTGTCGCCAAAGCTACGATAACCCACAAAATTTTCGTTGCAAAATGTTGTTGGCACTTTTAGCCACGACATAAAATTCGTCGCTCTTGAACCTCCATTTTTCCCCTTTTGTCACGAAAGATTTATCGTGGTGAAAAGTGTACTTTCAACCATGAAATTACTCGATTTCGTTGCTAAGATCTACCGTCACAGGCCTCTAGCCACCACTTTTCCGTCCCGAAAAGTTTTATAGCAGGAATGTGGATTGTGATTTAATTTTTTTAAGATAAAATGTGAGTCCAATTAAATATATTGATATGCTCGTGATTTTTCGATTTTGTTGCCGAGGTCTACCGCCACGGGCCTTTAGCCACCATTTTCCGTCCGGAAAAGTTTTGTAGCAGGAACCCTTGGCCATGAAATTTCAATCCTCTAGCCACGAAATTCCATTGCGACGAAAGGTCGATTTTCTTGGCCATCGCGTAAGGGTGCAAATGAGTAAAGGGGGGAGGGTGGGGTCCGGGCCATCGCGTGAGGGTGCGAATGAGTATCACCCCACTAACACGAAAAGTACGCTAATATCTAGACCAACAGCAGTTTGGATTTGGATGCTTTTTCATATGATGCTTGTCATTAGCATAAATATCATCAAAAGAGAGCTCATAAGCATATCAATATATTCAATTGAATTCACTTTTTATTTAAAAAAAAATTAAATAACGATCCACATGCGCACTTCAACAATCTCTTCCTTACGTGTGAGTTCTAGTCTTAGGCACGTTCCTCCATAATCCAGACATGTCAATAAACATGCGGAGCGCATCAATCGACCAAAAGCTATAATGCTGCTTGCTGTAACACACATTAGAAACACTAAGACGCTTGTTGTGACATACAATAGAAACTCGATACCTTCTTCTGGAGTGATCACCAAAAGAAATCTCAAATCTAAACTCATTGATATATTTAAGTCGACGAGTTATACGCCAATTGGGATTGAGTTAACTATCCTAAACCCAACCATATCTATGTTCCGGAGATTCTCTCGCACAGTCACACGCGCACCTCAACAGTACACATTATGAATGGAGTTCAATCTTATCCCAGTGTGTTGCCAAATAGAGAGATACAAGCACTAATGTCCATTCGATTCCGAAATCGCTATTCCCATTCTTTTCTAATCCATTCAGTTTAAATAGTCACACTAGTTGAAAATTAGTGTCTAAACCACTTTATTCCAATGTGTCGTCAGATAGATGAGTGCAAGACTATTCTCCAATGTTGAGTATGTGTTACACTTATTTATATGCCCAGCTATAATGAGTCGTGCTATTTAATATACCAACTTTTACAAATCATTCTCCCTTATTCTTTCCTAGAAACCATGCCATGCCCAACATGCTACAATAATCACGAGCAAATCAGAAGACGAGAACATCACAAAAAGATTAAAAAAAGATGGGATGAGATTTGGTGAATCTTCACTTTTTTCTAGGCAAAAGTACATTACAAGTGCCATAACTTGTGTACGGCGCTCACTTTAGTGCCATAACTTTTTTTTGGATCACTTTAGTGCTAAAATTTTTGAAAAACGATCACTTAAGTGCTAAAATTTTTGAAAAACGATCACTTAAGTGCCAACTCCGGTGCCGTACACAATTTTTCGCCGGAAATCTGACGTGGCATTTTTTTTATTAATTTCTGAAGCTGACGTGGCTCGCCGGAGTCTTGCCGGAGATTGGCACTTAAGTGATCGTTTTTCAAAAATTTTAACACTTAA